AGGAGCAAGACCCCCAAATTCCGTCTCCAGTCACCAGTGTCACCCCCCCAAGGTGGGCACACGGGGGACCCCCCAAGGTCCTCATAAGGCCCATGGGGACCCCTCCAAGCTCCCCCACAGGGTACATGGGGACCCCCGGGGACCCTCCCAAGGTTCCCACAAGACACGTGGGGATTCCCAAAGACCCCCAAAGGCATATGAGGACCCCCAAGGACCCCATAAGGCACATGAGAACCCCCCATAGGGCCCCCCCCCAAGCCCACACGCCCCTGAATCCTCATCCATGGCCCCCCCCTCGTTGTACACGAGGGGTTGTGCCTGCCCTGCAGGACCCCCCTCCCAGCGCCGTGCACGGCGAGGGGGGTCCCCTGTGCCCCCCTGGCCCCGGTGCCCGGTGCCGGGTGATGTAACCGCCGCCGCCCCATTGCATCACCCGCGGGCACCGGGCAGGGGCCAAGGCCGGTGGCGGGGGCTGTCCAGGCCCCGGGGACTTTGGGACAGACACAAAGTCCGTGAGGAGGGTGATGGCGGGGACGGGACCCTTCGGGGGACTCGACGCCGGGATGGGGGTGTCGGTGCCCAACCGGGGGCGAGGGCGGTGGGGAGGCCCGGGATGGAGCTGAGACCCCCGGGGGCGCTGGAGGGGGAGGAAGGGGTACCTGGGGGGCGAACAGCTGGGCACCGGGACCCCCTCCAGCGAGCACCGGGACCCCCCCACTGGGGACGCCCCGGAGACCGGGACCGTGTGAGCACCGGGAGACACCGGGGACCGGAGCACGCTGCGGGCTCCGGGACCCCTGCGAGCACCGGGGCTCTCCCGGGGCATTGGGACCCCCCCTGGGAGCCGGGACCCCTGCGGGCACCGGGACTCACCGGGCACCGGGGCCCCGAGCGGGCCCACCCCCCCGGGCACCGGGACCACCCCCGGGCACCGGGACCCCCCCCGCGAGCACCGGGAGACCCCCCGGGACCGCAGTGCCCGGCGCGCACCGGGACCCGCGCGGGAGGGGGGAACCCTCACCGGGGACCCCTGACCGGGGACCGGGACCCCCCAGCCCCCGGGACCGGGACCCCCCCCAGCGCCGGGGCTCACCCTGCCCAGGCGGAGCGGCCACATCTCGGTCCGGCTGCACGTGGGTCCCGGCGGGGTCCCGGTCCCGGTCCCGGTGCCCGCCTGGCCCCGCCCCCACGCGCGCGCTGCCGGGGGGGGCGGAGCCACCGGGGCCGACGGGAAACTGGAGGTCCGACCCCTCCCCCTCCGCTGGACCGGGGTCATCCCTGTCCCCCCCCATCCCCAGTCCCGGGAGTTCCCCATCCCTGCGCTCCCAACCGGGGGCTCCCCACCCCTGTTCCCCCCCCATCCCCAATCTGGGGCTCCCCCATCCCTGTTCCCCCCGATCCCCAATCCTGGGGGTCCCCCATCCCTGTTCCCCCCCCATCCCCAATCCTGGGGCTCCCCTATCCCTGTTCCCCCCCCCCGATCCCCAATCTGGGGGGGTCCCCCATCCCTGCCCCCCTCCTCCATCCCTGGTCGACGAGGATCAACACACCTTTTTTTCTTTTTTTTTCCCCCATTTTTTCTTTATTTTCCACTTTTTTTTTTTTCCATTTTAATTTTCTTTAAAAAAAATGATGAAGAAGCCCCTTCCCGAGCTGGGGGGGGGGAGCAGCCCCTGGGGACCCCCCCCCCACATCCCTGACCCCCGCCTGGCACTTCTTCACGGCGTGGGGTGTGGGGGCTGCACACCTGGAAGGGCCCCCCATGGAGGGGGGGGTCCGTGGGGCTCCGGGGGCTCAGCTGTGGCGCTGGAGCAGGGCCAGTGTTGGGGAGGGGGCTCCAAAATACCTGGGGGGGGCCCTTGCACACACACACGTGCACGCCTGGGGGGCTGCAGGGAGACAAAAGCCCCCCCAGTGTATGGGGTGAGGACTGAGACCCCCCCCAGCACCCTGACCTGCCCCCCAGACACCCCAGAGGTGACATCGCAGGGGGCTGAACCCCCCAGTTCACCCCCACACCCCCAGCCCAGCCCCCAGCATGGGGGGGGTCCGTGCCTGCACCCCCTGAGCTGCAGGGATGGGATTTCAGGGGGGAGGGGGGCCGGGCCCCCCAGCACCAGTTTACCCCAGTAAGATACAGGGGTGCTGCAGTGAGGGGGTTTCAGTGGGTGGGGGGGTCTCAATGGGCGGGGGGGGCTGGGACCCCCAGAACCAGCTGTACCCCAGTGATGCAGTGATGGGTGTCAGCACCCCCAGCACCGGCTGTACCCCAGTGATGCAGTGATGGGTGTCAGCACCCCCAGCACCGGCTGTACCCCAGTGATGCAGTGATGGGTGTCAGCACCCCCAGCACCCCCAGCACCGGCTGTACCCCACGGGGTGCAGGGATGGGATGTCAGTGGGCGAGGGGGGATCCCCAGCACCGGCTGTACCCCACGGGGTGCAGGGATGGGATGTCAGTGGGTGAGGGGGGATCCCCAGAGCTGGCTGTACCCCACGGCAGGGATGGGATGTCAGTGGGCGAGGGGGGATCCCCAGAGCTGGCTGTACCCCACGGGGTGCAGGGATGGGATGTCAGTGGGTGAGGGGGGATCCCCAGAGCTGGCTGTACCCCACGGGGTGCAGGGATGGGATGTCAGTGGGTGAGGGGGGATCCCCAGAGCTGGCTGTACCCCACGGGGTGCAGGGATGGGATGTCAGTGGGTGAGGGGGGATCCCCAGCACCGGCTGTACCCCACGGGGTGCAGGGATGGGATGTCAGTGGGTGAGGGGGGATCCCCAGAGCTGGCTGTACCCCACGGGGTGCAGGGATGGGATGTCAGTGGGTGAGGGGGGATCCCCAGAGCTGGCTGTACCCCACGGCAGGGATGGGATGTCAGTGGGCGAGGGGGGATCCCCAGAGCTGGCTGTACCCCACGGGGTGCAGGGATGGGATGTCAGTGGGCGAGGGGGGATCCCCAGAACTGGCTGTACCCCACGGCAGGGATGGGATGTCAGTGGGTGAGGGGGGATCCCCAGAGCTGGCTGTACCCCACGGGGTGCAGGGGTGCTGCAGGAATGGGATGTCAGTGGGGGGGAGGCCGGGACCCCCAGCACCAGCCGTCCCATAACACGGCACGGGGATGCTCCGATGACAAGGAGGGGTCAGTGTGGGGGTCACGGGGGGCACCGGGCAGCCGTGAAGGGGGCACAGCAACCCCACCCCCCGCCCCCGCCGCGCTGCCGTCAGCCGAAGTAGGGGTTGTCGTGCTGGAAGTTGTAGTCGGGACAGACCTTCTGGACCAGCTTGTAGTCGATGCTGAGGAAGGAGATGAAGATGCAGATGACCTTGAAGGGCTTGGCGCAGAGCCAGGCCGCGTGGCTCTGCGTGTGCTCCGTGAAGCAAACCTTGGACGGGTCGTACAGGCACGGCTTGTTCTTGCGCGCCCGGTTCGTCTTCTCGTACTCCACGTGGCAGTTGAGCGCCTTGGCCGGGCGCCCCTCGGGCAGGGTGCTCTGCTGGGGGGGCGGCGGCGGGTGCGGGAGCTGGGGGGGGCCGGGCACCAGCACCTCGAAGCCCACCGCCTTGGAGGGGGGCACGATGCTGACGGAGACGTTGCCCAGGCTGGAGGAGTTGTGTCGGAAGTAGACGCTGAAGGTGCCGTTGATGTGGTCGACGATCTTGCCCGTCACCAGGAGGCTGAACTTGAGCGTCTTGATGTTGAAGTAGAAGTCTCCCCAGCCGAAAATCTTCTTGGTGCGGCTGGACTTGAGGGTGGGCTTGCGGTGGGCGCGGGGGCTCGGCGGCTCCCCGGCCGTCTGGTTCTTCTGCCAGTCCCAGGGGCTCCGTCCGGCGCCCGCGGGCGTCCCCGCGCCCCGGGGGGGCTCTGCCGGGATCAGCCGCCCGGGGTCGAGCGCCGGGGGCTTCAGGGTGCCATAGGGGACATCCTTGAGGAGGCCGGAGGTGCCCAGCTCCAGGTAGCCCAGGGTCTTGGCGATGTGACCCCCAGCACACACCGTCTGGGGGAAAGAGGGCAGAGACTGCACGAGCCGTGCCTGTGTCCTCATCCTCCCAGCCGTGCCCTCACCACCCTCCTGCCAGCACCCCCCTCCTCACCCTCCTGCCCCTCCTCACCCTCCTGCCCCTCCTCACCCTCCTGCCCCTCCTCACCCTCCTGCCTGCACCAGCTGGGCCAGGACCGCAGCGTCCCATTCCCGAGGCTCCCCAGGTCGCTGCTTTGGACACCAGCAAGCAGAGCCAGCTGCCATCCCCAGCCTGGGACCCCAACTCTGACATGCCTCCTGTCCCTCATCCCCCTCCCCACCTGCTCCCCCGTGCCCCCATCCCTCATCCCGCCTCTCCCGGGGTGCCCGCTGTGCCCTCCTGCCCTGCCAGCTGCTCCGGCATCCAGGATGCTGCTCCAGCAGCCCCGGCCTCGTCAATCACTGTCACCCTGAGCTGGCAGGTGCTCCGCTGCTCCGGCACTTTCTGCTCTGGCTGACCCGTATCCCGGGGGAAGGCGGGAGGGGGGAGCGGGGCGGGGGGCAGAGGCACCAGCTGGAGGGGCTGGGGGGAGCGTGGGGGGCTGCACTCCCACAGGGAGCTGAGGAGGGCCCGGGGAACGGTTCCAGCTCATCCCAGCATCACCCACCCTGCAGTGTTTCCTGCTTGGGAACGACCTCCATCGGGAATGATGGGGGTCCCATGACCCTCCTCGGAGAGGGGGAAGCCCCCCAGGCCCCCTTCTCCACAGTCAGGCAGGTCTGTGTGAGGATCTCTGCTTGAGCACCATGGGGGGGCCCAGCCATGGACCCCCACACTTGCTGTCGAGCCGGGGGCTCCATCCAATCCATCCCTGGGGTCCATCACCTCGTCCCCCTGCTGTGTGCCAGGCTGAGCCCCTCAATCTGCTCTGGCACGTGCACACAGGAGAGAGGAACCCGGGCAGGCACAGGCGGCTCCACGGGGCCGTGGGAAGGGGATCTGGGGGGTCTCAGCCCATCGGGGGGGCGCGGGGGGGGACAGGGTGTGCGGTGCAGAGCTGTGGCTCAGCATCCATCCCCGCACCCCCCCGGCCCGGCCAGCCCCCCGCCCCCCCCGCTCCCCCCGAGCGCCGCCGCTGCCTTCGCCCTTATCTATATTTCAACGCAGCTTCAAAGCCCGGCTCCTTCGCCAGCCAGAGAGGGGGGGCAGGACCGGGATGGCAAGATAACGGGAGGAGGGGGAGAGGGGCACCCCCGGGCCGGGAGAGACGCATTTCGGGCGGGGGGTGGGTGGTTGCAGCTCCCCCTGCACCCCAGCTCTGCTCCATCACTCCGTCCATCAGACCTCGAGCCCCTCAGATCCCACCCTGGGGAGGCCGAGGGGCAGCGGTGACCCCACAACTGGGAGCCCCCCAAACCCCCCTGCACCTGCAGCGAGGGGCCGGGGGCTGCAGCCCGCGGGGAACACCCGCAGCAGCACACGCTGCCGAGCCCCCACCACCGGGAAGGATTTCTGGAGGTTTCCGAGAGCTCTGTGCTGGATTTCCATCGCAGCCAGGGCTGGGAGCCAGGGCCCGTCCCCAGCGGCACTGCGGGCACCTGCACCCTCCTCCCCTGCCTCAGTTTCCCTTTGCAATCCCCCCCTGGCCATGATCCCCCGCAGGGGTGAGTGGGGTGGGGTGGGATGGGATGGGATGGGATGGGAACGGGCTGTGATGGGAACTGATGGAGGTGGTGATGCAGGGACAGGGAAGGGACAGGGACGGGCAGGCAGTGGGGAGGGGATGCAGTGGCAGCAGGGGAGATGGGCAGCAGCCCCCTGTAGTCCTGGGGGCTGCAGGGCCCCAGGCCAGGCTGGTGCAGGAGGTGCAGGAGGTGCAGGAGGACGGAGCCAGGGGCCGGGGAGCACAGATAGGAATGGACAGAGCAAACAGCCCCCACCCCTGCAGTGCCCCCAGCCCCTGCTGGCAAAGGGCCAGGCTGGCAGCCCCCCAACCCCTCCAGTCCCTCCGCAGGAGCTGCTGGGGGAGCGGGAGATGAAAGGGAATTGCAGAGCAGGGCAGCGGCTGCGGCGCAGGCAGGGCGATCGATCGCGGCACCGGCACCGGCGCAGTCCGGGGCCGTGGGGGGACCCTCGCTGCCCGCAGCCCCCGCTGAGCCCCGGCACGGGGGGCTGGGAGGGGCAGGGACGAGCGGGGCCACGGGCACCTCACCCACGGCAGCGCCGAGGGGAGCCAAGGTCACCCCCCCTCGGAATGCAGGGCAGGTCCCGCACACCTCGCGTTAAATATTAATGCTCCCGCCGGGCCGGGGGTGCAGCTGCACACACGTGCCCGTGAACCTCCTGGACACGCGTTGTGGGTGCACAGGGATGCCCCAGTGCCAGCCCCCTCCCTCCCTGCCCGCACCAGGCCCCGTGCCCGATGCCGGGCAGGGCCATGCCCGGCCCTGTGGTGTGCGGGGCTCCGCTGCCACACATCGGTCACCTCGGGGGGCCTGAGACGGTTGTTTTTTGCTGTCACATGTGCTGCTGCATCTACACATCCGTGCTGCTCCCCTCCTCATCCTCCTGCCCGCCCCCCTCCTCATCACGATCCCCCGGCATCGTTCCGTGCTTTAGCTGCTCTCAAGCCCTTCGTGTGCCCCTCTGTGCCCCCGCGGGGCTGCAGTCCCCGGGCACCACGTGTCACGCCCCGCACACACGGAGCCAGGCAAGGATGCGGGAAGGGCTGGCTGTGGCTGCAGAGGGACCGGGAAGGCTCTCGGTGCCGGCATCAATTTGGTCTGTCAGGCCCAGCAGTGATGGCCACTCACATCCCATTTGCTGCCGGGGCCAAGCACCGTCAGCTGCTCCCCCGAGACCCTCGGTCACCTTGGCAGAGGGGAGGGGAGCAGCACGGGGGGGACGGGGGGAGCAGCTGCCCTGGCGTGGGCTGGGATGAGCTCCAGCACCCCAAGAGTGGGGCTGGGAGTGGTGGGGTACAGGCTCAAGGCAAAACAGCCTCCACCAGCACCAGGAGCAGTGACACTTCTCAACAAAGGCAGGATCTCTGCAACCAGCCTGGCCCCGTCCCCATTGCATGCCTGGCCCTGTGCCCACCGCCAGTTTGTCCCCATCCCCACCACCAGCCTGTCCCTGTCCATGCAGCCAGCCTTCCCCATCCCCATCACCAGCCTGTCCCTGTCCATGCAGCCAGCCTTCCCCATCCCCACCACCAGCCTTCCCCATCCCCACCATCAGCCTTCCCCATCCCCACCATCAGCCTTCCCCATCCCCACCATCAGCCTTCCCCATCCCCACCATCAGCCTTCCCCATCCCCACCATCAGCCTTCCCCATCCCCACCATCAGCCTTCCCCATCCCCACCATCAGCCTGTCCCCATCCCCATCCCCATCCCCATCCCCGATCCCATCCTGTCCCCCCACCTTAGCAGGGGCCTCTGGCAGCACAGACACCGCTCTGCTGCTCGGGCTGTCCCGCTCTGCCCGTGGGCACAGGGTCAGGTTGGCCTCTCCCCTGCCACCCCACCTCTCCCCCTGTCACCCCGCCGCCTTCGTTAGCGCCAGGAGATTAATTGGAGGTGGTGAGCGACAATCCCCGCGGGGCCGCTCCCCCCGGCGCGCACAGCCCGGGGCGCGGTGGCATTTCCAAAGGTTAGCAGCAAACAAGGTGCCTCTGACAGCTCCCATTTATCTCCCGGCGCCGCGCGGGTGCTAATGCGGTGCCGGGTGTGCCGCGCCGGGCTCCGCGGGGCTGCGGGAGGGACCCGGCGTGCCCGGCGTGCCCGCGGCTCTGGGGTGAGGGTGTGGGTGCTGTGGGCGTGTGCCCAGGTCACCTCTGCGCCCGGGTGAACGCAACAAACGCCAGCGGGTGCTCCACGTGCGGCCGGGTGTGCACGGGCACCTCCACGTGTCCACGCAGGTGACACACGCAGGTGACACACGCAGGGGGACACAGGCACGGTGACACAGGCACGGTGACACACACACGCACGGAGTGAGGTCCCTGGTGCGGCTGCACGTCCTGGGTGACGCGTTCCCAGCCCCCTGTGTGCCCACCCCCATCCCTACCGCCGGCCCGTCCCCATCCCCACGGCCAAACCGTCCCCATCCCTGCTGGACACGGCGGGGTCACGGCTGTGCTGCTGCCACGCTGAGCCCCAGGTGACGGTCCTGGGGAGCCCTTGGTGCCAGGGCAAGGGACTGATGTGCTGCTGGGCACCCCTGGGCTGGCAGCGGGGTGCTGGAGATCCCCAGGCCAGAAAAGGCACCTCCAGCACCGGGATGGACGAACCCGGCACCGGCAGCTCCTCGGCCAGGGGAGAGCCCAGAGGAACTTGCCGAATCCAAACCCAGTCAAATCCAAATCCAGCCAAATCCGCCAAACAATCCACCAAACCCCACCGGGGGCTCCTTCCAGCTATGCCAGCTGTGGCCCCCCGGGACCGCCCCGGGGTCCTGCTCCCGGTGACACCGGCACACCCCCTCGAGCGGGACCGTGACCTGTGGGGCCGGGGGGGATTGGCTTTGGATCAGCTGTGCCTTCACCCCCCGAACAGACACCTCGCTCCTCGCCGACGGAAGGAATATGCAAATGCTGCAGCTTTATTAACGCGCTCGGCACGCGCTGGCTAATAAATATTTCATAGCCCGAGTAGGACTTTTTTTCCTCCCTCCTCCTTCTTTCTTTCGTTTTGGTTCCTTTTCCCTGTCACTCGTTTCCTGCCTTTTCTTTCCTCAGCCGTTATTTTATTTATTTATTACTTTTAAGGGCTTCACGGTGAGGCAGGAGCTGGGAGGTAGCTGGGGGGGGGGCCGGGAAAAACGTACATCCCAAATCTCTCCCCCCACGGGTGAAAAAGGAAAGTGCTGTTAAGAGCAAAGGAAAAAATATAATAGAAGGGAGGAGACGGCAGCAGGCAAAGGATTCGAGGCTTGTGTGACTCATTGGGCTGGAGGAGAAAAGGGAATGAATGGGAAAACAGGAGATAAACGGAGCGGGAGGGGGAGAGGGGGTGCGGATGGGTGGGCAGCAGCAGCGGGGAGGGGACACGGGGGTGGGGGGGCCGGGGACACGTGGCTT